AGGCAATGACAGAGGAGGGAGGCGGGAGGAGGCAGTGACAGAGGAGGGGGGCGTGAGGAGGCAATGACAGAGGAGGGAGGCGGGAGGAGGCAGTGACAGAGGAGGGAGGCGGGAGGAGGCAATGACAGAGGAGGGAGGCGGGAGGAGGCAGTGACAGAGGAGGGAGGCGGGAGGAGGCAGTGACAGAGGAGGGAGGCGGGAGGAGGCAGTGACAGAGGAGGGAGGCAGGAGCAGGCAGTGACAGAGGAGGGAGACATGGGGAGATGTGCTGCCCCGTTCATGTTTCTCATCATGCTACCATTATCATACACGCACACAGGGCACGGCTGTCGTACTGCAGAGACGATCGGAGAACGAGGAACCAGTCGAGGTGGGCCGCCTAGGAGTGTCCGACTATTTCGGTGTGTATAGATGTAATATAAGTATTATTATTATGTACTTAGTATTAATAGTAGTAGTAGTAGTAGTAGTAGTAGTAGTAGTAGTAGTATTAGTAGTAGTAGCAGTAGTAGCAGTAGTAGCAGTAGTAGCAGCAGCAGCAGCAGCAGCAGCAGCAGCAACAGCAGCAGCAGCAGTATAGATGTACAATGGAGGTGACTAGGGATAGGATAGGAAGATGACTACCGGTAGATCAGCAATCGCGGGAAATGTTAGCAGAAATGGTCAGTAACAGGTCAGTTAGGAGGAAATCAGGCCGGTGCGGGGAAGGGAGAAGGACGTCGGGAGAGGGGACAATGAGCAGGCAGTTAGTGACGACGCGCACGTTTACGTTTGCCTCGAGTGTTCTGCTGACGATTGTTTCTCTCCTCCTCAGGGTTCGTAGCGGGTCTTCCAAAGTCTTATAAGTACTTATTTTGCCAAAAATAAAATAAGGGCTCTTATTAGTAATTATTTTTGGTGAAATCTTAGAAATGTACTTAATAGTTAATAGTACTTATGTTTTGCCAAAGGACCATTTTTCAACATTGTTTTATAAACTGTTCTCGACTTAGAGTAAGAATTGTTGTATATATAATATGGAATAATTAAATCTGCTGTGCAATTGTGTATATAAATATTATTAGTGTACTTTAATAGTCGGTGATCTATCAGAAATCGCGTAAAAAAAGTCTTATTTTGGCCTCCAGAAAGGGTCTTATAAGTCCTTATTTCAACATGTGTCTTACTACTATGAACCCTGCTCCTCCTCGCCGCCTGCAGGTGAGATTGCGCTGCTGCTGGACCGACCGCGTGCAGCCACCGTCATGGCGCGCGGGATGCTGAAGTGTGTCAAGCTGGATCGCGCACGCTTCGAACGCGTGCTCGGCCTCTGCGCGGACATCCTCAAGCGCAACATCGCTCAGTACAACAGCTTCGTCTCGCTGTCCGTGTAGAGCGCGCCGGCGTGCGTACGTAGAGGACGTCGGCTGCGTAGATTGCCGCACGTAGGGGGCGCCGGCATGCCCAGCGCATCGGAATCTGTGGATCACTGTGTGTGTGTGTGTGTGTGTGTGTGTGTGTGTGTGTATCTGTATCGTGAGAGTGTTTCTTCCCCCGAGTATCTCCCTCTTTTCTTTTCTAACCTCTCGCTGCCTTCTTTCATCTTCTGTTTTTTCTTCTCTGCTAATCTCTCCGTTCTGACTGCTCACATAAATTCATTCTTCCCTTTACTCCTTTCAGTCTACTCTCTTCTTCTCTTCACTTCTCTGTCTCCTTTCTTCTTTTGCTTCTCTCTCCTCTCGTTTGTCTTCTTTTTCTACTCTTCTCTGTCTCCCCTTCTTCTCTCCTCTTGTGCTAAGCTTTACTTCTTTTGCTCCCCCTTATTCTGCTCTTTGCTTGCCGAAATTATGTCCCTCCATTCTTACCTTCTTTCTAAACGTCTTAAAATGTTGCAAATTCTCGTATAGATATGTTGAAAAGGCTAGAGTGAGAACTTTTATTTGATCGTTGATGCTGCATTTAGTGAAGCAGTTATCTGTCAAAACTCGGCCTTCACGTCCGATGCTTGGCTGCTGCAGCTGCTGCCACCTGGCGATTATGTAATGAAACTAGTCACGGAAATGCAGCTTGGTTCAGCGATGTGTGGAGGTGTGAGGACAACAGCTGTTTCGATGTTAGAACTCCGCACGAGGGTAGATGACGCGTTATTAAGAGACGTCACATCTCCTGATAGGTTTAGCTAACTTTGTCGGGCGACGGCTACTGCTGTTCAATTCATCACTAAGAAATGTGTGTTTAAGCTGACTGGTGGGACAGTGGTAGTACTGTTCATCGCTGGTTTTCTGTGTGTATGTCTGATCTCAGCATGAATCGAGATGCATGCAGAATATGTCACTGTTGGTAGATTCCTGCCCCACTTGCTCACATGTACACACCACACTGTGTCACACACAACACAATGTCACACTGTGCCACACACACTGCACCACACAACATCACATCACACCACAGGTTACATCACACCTGGCACCACACGTCACATCACACCAACCCACACCACACCACACCACACCACACCACGCCACACCACACCATTACACACAAAGGCCACCACCAATACATCACATTACACCAAACCACATCAAACCACACCACACCACACTAGCACGTACGGTGCCTAGATTAACAGCTGGTTAGAGTACAGTTAAGTGGTTACAATACTATTCAGATATCGCAAAGTAATCCACTGCAAGTATGTGAAGTCGTTTTATCTTAATATCATTGTAATCGTCGCTGTTAAGTTTGTATTAGTTGCTGTGTGTGCACAGCCGGAAGAACAAAAACTGACATATTGTAAAAAAAAGGATGTAAGAGAATTTAATGAGTTTGTTCATGTCGTGAGATACTAATGTTGGTTTGCTAATATATTAGTGTGAAAGAGCAGCAAAAATGGGCAACCTAAAATACTGAGCAGCAGATCAAGAGCTTATCGATTAATTGTATTGATTTATTAGTTAACTGATTTGCCTGTGGCGCTACTTGCAGTTATAATTAGTGTTGAAGGTCGCCGCCACTGAAAGGTCAAGGTTATCGAATAAAATTCCGCACGTGTTTGCGATGGCCAGCAGTGGGCGTGCATGTCGGTGGACAGGACCTATGCTGGGCTGATTAGTGGACGTAGTGCCGGTCGTCCGCATATCACTGTATAGCGGAGACGTGTCGTGGTTAGCATTTATATACGTGTGCGCAAGTTTGAGTCGGTGTCGGTGTCTTCATGTGCGCTAGCGGTGGACAAAGAACCAGGGCTGTGGGGAACGGAAATTGCTGTCTGCCAGATCGGGAGCTTCGATCGACTGGCGTGGATTATTGTTTTACAAAACTGTAGACGTCTGCGTGCGCGTGTGATAGACATGTCACTTGCTATAGGTTTGAGAGTCTCACGATTTTGCTTACGGGATTTTGCGTCATTGCATGACATTATATTATATTATCCCTATTGGATGTTTATACCCATAACAAAACGCACCAAAAACGCACTAGCATGACATAGTTTTGTTGTAATAGTTGAGGGTTACCTTCACAGAATAAAGTTCGTGCATGCAGTGTTGAATTTGTGTATATAATGGGGTGTATAATACCTATACAGAATTATCATAGAACCATTATTACAAGTATACTCTGACGAGTAAATTTGCTATTGAGCCTATATAATGGTAACGTCCCAATGTTGTCTGTCGCTCGGATTGCATTCTCTTGCCAGGAATCGTCGTCCCCTAACACCTAGCGAGTGTATTTTATTGTGTAATAAATCGGGGAATAATAGGAGGAACCAGACCTAGGTCTACCTATGTAGCGCAGGAGTCCCGTGGCAGAGGGATGGGCTACATAGGTACAGCTATGTGTATGTAACCCTGTGTGTTACAGCGTGATGTAAATGTTCAGCAGCTATGATGCTACTAGATTCAGTCCACTCACATATAGTACGTTTAGACTAACCGTAGTCTAGTCATAACGAGTAGTGTGGATCTACGTTGATGCTATAGCTCTATCTATGTAGCTCCTCGCTATATGCATCACTCTATTGCGAGTCGAGGGGCTAGATAGGCAGGTCTAGCTACAACGATACAGACTAGCTGATTCTAAATGAGAGCGGTGCAAACGCTGCCGTATTAAATTTTAAGGACATGTTTTAACACGTGTCGTCTTGCATATCTTCTACAATAGCAATTCTTACGCGTGTCAGGTCTGGCGCTATACATTTGCGATTTATAAAATCTATGGATATGTTTATATCCATAGTAAAAATTATATCCATAGTATCAGCTGTAGAAGTAATAAATGGTTAATTAGGGAAAAAACGCAGAATTGTTGTGGAAGGGGTGGAGATGTCACATGCCGTCTTGTCGTTTGTGTTCTCTTACTGTGAGCGTGTTCTATCGATATACTCTCTTTGCAGGTTTCTCTACATTGTGAAATATTTTCAATCGTGTTATATTCGAAGTAGCTTCTGTGGTAAGGAGTACAAGTTACATGTAGAGACGTCAAGTTTCGTTATTTTATCTTCGATTGAAATGTTATCTGTTAGCATTAGGTTATAGTGATGCATGCGCGTCTATATGTTATGTTAAGCAAAAGGCTGTAAATGTTATTGATGTCGAAGTATGTAATAAAAAGAACCATTATTTATGCCAAAATTAAATTTCATGGCAGATAATTCTGGTACATCCTCGAAATACCCATTCAGTTTTAGATTGTAGTCATTCCTCACTTGAATCTGTTCCCATCACCATAAGCTGGCATTAAAAACTTCTCTGCTCCTGTTCTTGGTATCGACTATAATCGATCTAGAAGTGATCAGATCGACGTTTAAACTCCGTCTTATGTATAGTCATTTGGACTCTGAAGAGTAGCGATGTTACGAGATATCTGTAGTATTCTCCGTCTGAGTCATGTGACACATTCCCCTGTACCTTCTTTCCATCACATGTTTGCGTTTCTTTTCTATTCTTAGGGGTACTCTTCTACCTTGGCTCAGCTTGGCTCCTTCCCACCTTCATTTTTCTCTTTTTTGTCCGCCCATGTTTCCTCGTCATCTCTGCAGCTCTGCCGCCCTATTTCTCTGGTCTTCTGCCGCCTAAACGCGGCATTTCTCTGTGCGCTTTTATCGCTAATATATCCCCTAAAACTGAGAACAGAATTTAACAAAAGTGTGTGTATGTGTAGCAAAATATACTGTAATGTAAAAGTAGCAATCATGTAACAAAATATGTTTCAGCCCTGGGCTTGATGCACTGATCTGTATACAATAACATGTCACATGATACATATGCATACCAACTTGCTCCAAGAAACGGTATTGCTAGGGTTAGAATACTCGTTATCTATGAACGTAATCTAGAATAATCTAGTAATCCGTAAGTAATAGTAATAGTAAATAGTAATCGTAAATCCAGTAATCTAGAATACTTGTATATTGACGTTAATCACACACCCTGGTGGGGTTAAGGTACCCCAAGAGTCCGTAATAGAACATTTTATATTATCATTATGGACTCCATAATGCTACATTCAGCGCTGCATACTGCAGGGGCGGATCCAGGATTTTTGAAAAGGGGGTGTCCAGGAAGAAATAAAGGGCACTTTTTCCTGCTTACCTTTTCTGGTGTTTGAAAAAGCTGCCGAAGGCCACTTAGGGGGGGGGGGGCGTTTGGGGGACCTCCCCAAAAAATTTTAAACAAAATTGTTGCATTCTGAGAGCATCTGAGCAGTAATTTTGATGTCTATAATGCAAAAATTTACCAGATCGAGAAGTGTGTGTGTGTGTGTGTGTGTGTGAATTCTAGGTAACGCACGCAGGCCAGGTTGCTTAAGCCTAGCGCAGACTTGCAACTTTTGGTTGCTCGTCGCTGCAACCTGCAACCGCAAGCGATCAGTCGATGTGTCCCCGCGTGTGTGCACACATGCGATTTCGAAGCAATTTTTGAACAATTTGGGAGTGATTGGGAGCGACGAGTCGCTCAATATCAGCTCAGTTTGATTTCTTGCAACTCGTCGCAAGCGACCAGAATTGCTACGTGTTGCAGTTGCACGTTCCCGCAGACATAGCGATTTCACAGCAATTTCGACTGCGATTCTAGAATCGCAGCCGAGTTGCATGAAAAAGTCGCCAAGTTGCCGCTAGGCTTTATTTAGTTAATTACTAGATTAACCTTTATGCATTCTTCGCCTCTACAGACTGTAACTCACATTACGTTATTAGCTAGAGAAAGATGAGGAATTCTGCAGCCAAGTGGCACAGCATTGTGAGGTAGCAAATGAACTCAGTCCCTGCTGTACGTGTACAAGTCTCTGTTGTCTGCCTTGAGTAGGCTCCACTGTCATGGAGCACCAAAAATCACTCATTACACGAGTCATTACCCTATCCGGTGGCAATATTGAGATGCCGCTCTTACTAATTGGTGTTGCAGTAGGACGTATTAAAGCCATAATTACGAGAATTCTCCAGTGTGTTCACCACTTTCACGATACCTACCATTATTGCTTGAGTAACAGCAATTGTCTAGAGTAACGATAAAATGTTTTAGAACCTTCGTATTCACCAAAACATGCAATTTTCGAACTAGTTTGGCAAACGATTCTTTGCTGTAATCTTGAGACTAGAGCCATTAGGTTTTGGACCAGCTAATAGCACCACCTATCTGCCATAGACATACAATCTCTCTCAAATGCAATTGTTTTCAATTTTGTCACCGACAAATTACAAGTTGACACATTTAACAAATCTCGTGACTAGATGTTATTTTCGTGGTGTTACAATGTGTTCATATCTAATTATTTATGTTATAACTGCATAAAATCTTAGTGTTTTACAAGTTGGTGTAATCAGTGATATATCTGCCTTGGGGTGAGACTATATTTCGCTATATTTTTTTCGGATTGAGTGTTTCTGAGAAAGAATTTTGTGATACAGGCTTTAAAACAACGCTTGTTAATAAAGTGCTGAAAATTTGACATTTTGCCGTGCACACGTGTGAAGCCACGCATAAACTGGATGATTTTTACCTCTCTAGCATCAATAGCTAAGGATGGGTCGGTTGCCACATGCTTTGTTCACGCGGCACCTGCTGCTTTTATTCAGAGAACCTGGAGAAGTGGGAGCGGCTGACGGTGGCCGATGCGCTGGAACCATGCACCTTCCGAAACGGTCAGAACGTAGTCGTGCAGGGAGACCGCGGGGAGGACTTCTTCATCATCACAGAGGTAGGGAAGGCAGGAGGAGGCAGTGGCAGAGGAGGGAGGTGGGAGGAAGCAGTGACAGAGGAGGGAGGCAGGAGGAGGCAGTGACACAGGAAGGAGGCGGGAGGAGGGAGTCAGGAGGAGGCAGTGACAGAGGAAGGAGGCGGACGAGGCAGTGACAGAGGAGGAGGCAAGGGGGGAGCAAGTTGCAGAAGGAGGCAAGAGACGAGAGGAGGGAGGCAGGAGAGGAGGGCAGTGGCAGAGAGGGAGGGCAGGGAGAGCAGTGACAGAGGAGGATGGCGGGAGGATGCAGTGACACAGGAGGGAGCGGGAGGTGGCAGTGAAAGGACGAGGAGGAGGCAGGAGAGGCAGTGGCAGAGGAAGGGAGCGGAGGAGGCAATCGACAGAGGAATAAAAGGGAGGCGGGAGGAGAGTCAGTGACAGAAGGAGGGAAGGCGGGTAGGTAAAGGCAGTGACAGAAGAGAGGGAAGGGCAGGAGAGGAGGCATGCAGAGAGGGAGGCGATGGGAAGGCAGGCATATGACAGGGAGGGACGGTTGGGAAGGAGGCAGAGTGACAGAAGGAGGGAGAGCGGGAGGAGGCAAAATCAAATAGACAGAGGAGGGAGGAGCAGGGAGAAGGGGCAGTGTACAGAAGGAAGGAAAGAGGAAGGCAGGGAGAGAGAGAACAAAGTGAAAACAGAAGGAAGGGGAGTGGGGAAAAAGGAGGCAGTGAGACAGAGGAGGGAAGGCGGGAGGAGGCAGTGAACAGAGGAGGGGAGGCGGGAGGAGGGCAGTGACAGAGGAGGAGGAGGCGGAGAGTTAAGGCAATGACAGAGGAGGGAGGACAAAGTGACGGGAGGAGGACGGGGCAGGGCAGTGACGGGAGAGGTGGAGGAAGGACCGTAGACAGACGGAGGAGAATGCGAGGAGAGGCAGTGACAGAGGAAGGGAAGGCGGGAAAGGAGGCAGGTGACAGAGGAAGGGAGTGGGAGGAGGCAGTGAAAGAAGGAGGACAGGGACCGGGAAGAGGCAGTGACAGAGGAGGGAGGCCGGAGGGAGGCAGTGACAAAAAAGAGGGAAGAGGAGGCGGGAAGAGGAGGCAGTGAGCAAGGTAGAAGGCGGGAGAGGGCAGTGACAGAAGGAAGGGAGAGTGGGAGGAGGTCATTGACAGAGGAGAGAAAAAGAGAGGCACAAGGGAAGGAGGCAGGGACAGAAAAGAGGGATGGCGGGAGGAGCAAAGTGACAGAAGAGGGAGGCAGGAGAGGCAGTGGCAGAAAGGAGGGAGGTGGGAGAGGAATTGACAGAGGGGAGAGGAGGACGGTGAGGAGGCCAGTGACAGAAAAGGAGAAAAGGAAGAGCAGAAAAGAGGCAGTGACAGAAAAAAAAAAGGAAGGGAGGTGGAGCAGGCAGATGAACAGAGAGAGAAGAGAGGTGGGCAGGAGGAGTGACAGAGGAGGTAGCGGGAGAAAGGAGGCAGTGGACAAAAGGAGGGAGGGACGAAAGAAGAAAAGGAAGGGAGCGGGAAGGAGAGGCAAGTAGACAGAGGAGGGAGAGGAACAGGAAGAAGATAACAAAGGAGAGGAGGCGGAGGAAGAGCAAGAGGGAGAGGAGGATGGAGAGTATGGCAAGTTGACAGGAGACGGGAGGAAACAAGGAGCAAACAGAAGAGGGAAGGCGAGGAAGAGAGCAGTGACAGAAAAACGGAAGAGGG